CATGATAATTTGAAATTATGAACACTTCATACAATGATTATTAAGTGATCTTTTTTATTTTTTCCAATAAATTATCAATTCTAGCTTTCATCACAGGTTGACCTTTTGCAGTTAGTTTAAAAAATTGTTTTTTAGTTTGATTTCTTTTTTTCTTGTAAACTTTTCGTTTTTCTGCTTGAAGTTGTTTTTCTTTTTTTCTTTCCTGTAATAAATGAGGAGTAATTAATAACTTCATTAAATAATCTCAATCATAATCCAAATGATAATTTCAATAATAATTACAGCCATAAATTACCTCTAACATTTTTAATCTTTCTTGTCTTGAAAGGTTTTGTTCATCAATAATCTTTTTAAAAGGATTAGGTTTCGTTGATTTCCTAATAGTAATAGCCAATAACCATTAATTTAATAAATTATTGATTGATTAATTGATTTATTGATTAAACCTTACTTTTTCTTTTTTTTTTTTTGGTAAAATAGATTATTATTATAAAGATTATAAAATAGAGAAAATTTATCATTGCGGTTGTTGTTGATGTTAAAAGGAAATAAATAAAAAAAATTATTTGTTTAAAAGATTAGTTACTTTTTCAACTTTCTTGTTCAAAGAAGAAGAACGAAGCAAAATATCATCATCGTCATCTTCACCTCCTCCTTCCTCATCTTTGCCGTCCTTTTTGATGTTTTTGTTATTATTATTCACATAATTATTATTTTCAACAATTTTCTTCTTATTTGAAGAGTTTATTGATGTCAGCTTTACTCTTTTACTTTTCGCACTTTCATCATCACTTTCATCATCATCATCATCATCATCATCACTGCTTACTTTTTTATTATTTCTTTTCTTTCTTTCTAACATTTCAAACTCTTTTCCACTGTCATCATCATCATCATCATTATTTAAAATCTATATTTATTAATGAAGAATTAAATTACTATCTTTTAATAAATAATACAACATAATGATATTAAGGATGAAATGTTACTTCTTTATAAAAATCAGGTAACTTTTTAATATCTTCATCTTTTTTCAAAGTTTTATAAAAATCTTTTTTTATTTTCGCTCTATAAATTAATTTCTTTTTGTTTTTTTTGACTAATTCCCCAAAGAAATGTAAGGTAAGAGAAATTGGCTTTTAATTTTTGCAATGAAATAATAATTATAAAAAAACCTTTCTCTTGATACGGATCATATGACCTTCGTTTATTATTATAACCAGTAAATTTTCTTTTCCTATTTGTTATTTCTGACATTTTGAAATGAAAATTTAGAAAGTTCAATCAATGCAGATCCTCTATAATAACAAAAGAGAACCCCGAATACGCCACACGAACCGCGGTATGACCCCTGAATACAAAAAATGTATATAATTTTTCTCCAAACTCCAAAGGGTATGTAATATATATAATTATTTTACTTTATACAAATATACTTAGCTCATAACTTTGAACAAATTAATATACAGAGTGTTATTAAAAACTTGGTCGGATGGAATAATTATTCGGTTAATAAAGATTTCAGTGAATACTTATCAAATAGTTTTACGTGATGTTTTATTTAATCTTCTTGATACTTGCATAATATGTTTGCCTTTTAGAATCACATTGCTTTAACTGACTTTCTGAATATTTAGAATATTTTTTGGTGAATACAGTAAATAACGTCAGGAAATTAAAACTTGTTATTGTGCAGAATTATGACACACCTGGTACATAAATTTCTTTGAATAATATCATATATCTTGTGAATATTGCAAGTGATCTTCTTTACAATGTATATTCAGTTTTTAATAGGCATTTTTTATCAATATGGAAGCATCACGTTAATTCATTGGTGTGATGCGCGTAGCCTATAGCCACCATTTATGCATCACACTGCCAAAATACTACAAAACTCAAAATTTGGAAATTCGCTTAAAAAAAATTCTTGAAAAGATTGTCCTGTCTTTTTTTTTCAACATAGAAGTAAAAAGTAAGAGTGTGGGGCTAGTAAACTCGTGCAACTTGGAGCCTTAATTGTTCAGTGATAATAAAAGGCAATCAAAAGGTGACAGTCTAACTAACTATATGTTGATTGAAATAGGATTGCACGTAGGAATTTTAAATGTTTAGATTTTAAATAAATAAATGTCCTCATGTAAAATAAATATTCGGGTCAGTATGGAATGCTGCACGGTCAGTTCCGATTGAACCAGCAGTGGTTGAATAACCGCGCATTCAACTAGAACTGAGATTAAAAGGATTTTTTAAAAGTTATTGATAGCTTGTACAGGACCTGAAATATACGTAGGGGTAAGGTGCACTAATACGTCGCCATCATAGAGCATCTGATGGGGTCAGATTTTATTTGCGTAGAATTTGAGCTTTTTTGGTCAAGTATTTGTGACTATTTTAATTTTAATATTTTAATTGCAAGTTTTATGCAGGATATACATATCTCGCATTATTGTTAAAAATTTCTTTCCTAAAAAATCCAGTTTTGTAAGCACAAATATGTTGCTCGTGTTATACAGTACATTTGTGGTAAACTCGGCCGGAAATAGGAGGATGATTATCTTGACTGTCGTGTTTGAGGTTCTGGATGTAAGGAGAAAAACAATTTATAATTAAATATATATTGTATTTTGCTTATAAAAAATTAGTAAAGAATGATTTGTTGAAAACTGGGTTCAGCCTAAAGTCACATGATAATCAAAAGTCTGAAGATTAATTCGTTTTTTCCCAATTATCAAAATCATTGCGTAGAACTATTAGTAAAAAATTACAAAGTCACCTTACCTCGACATATATATTCGGGTCCTGCTTGCATTACGGATACGGTTTTCTTATTTTGTTATCAGTAATGACATGTTTTACAACGAGCTATGAAAAGAATTTTGTTTGAAAACAATTTAGGTGCCAATCATTGACAATTTATTTATTATTATAAAAATAAAATAAAAATATGTACATACCATGCCATACAATACAGAATTAATGGATTACTTACAGACATTGACGCATATCACAATTGGTCATACTAATTTTTATTATTGATATTACACTACTCAAAATCAGTCAGTGTATCACCACAAATTTTTATTATAACATCTAAAAACAGTATATAGTGGAAATTTTTTATTATTGATATTTGTCTTGTAAAAATAAAATATTCCCAAAATGTTGATTCCATCAACACCAAATTATACACAACATTGCTTGGATTGTTATGAAAATACAAATGACACTCCTTTTAACCACATCTCCTGGGATTGGAGAATAAATTTTTAATGAGATATATATATGAAAGGTATTCTAATTTGTTGAGAGTTTGTTCAAATAAGAATGAAGATTCCCAGAGTTTTTCATGGTACTATCTAATCTACTTATATATTCTACCAATTTTGAGTTTTTAACTTGTGCACAATGAGGATTTTGTTTAAATGTGTGTGAACCCATCAATGATAATATAAAGAATTAACTAATATTGAACCTTAATCTTTCAAGATTTTCTATCAATCCAGATGTATTTAGATTAGATATGACCTTTATACAATATAAAAAATAAAGCCATAAATGTAGTTGCGTGTACTTCCGACTCATCAAAAACCTTGTTTCATACATCAAGAAATTTGCATAAAAAATTGTGTGATATTTACGTTGAATGTGATAATTACATGATTTTTGATTTTGCATAATATTATGGTGCCCAACGTAACTTATGTAAATGGTGTAATCATTGCGCCAGAAAAAGTTTCCTGAGTGTACGTTCTTTTTCATGTCTTTTGCTGATAAAACATAGATTAAGGTGGTTAAGATGATTGAAAGATGATGTTTTATCTTTTCACCAAGTTTATCGTCATAAATCTAAATAGACAATTTCAATTCAATTTCTGTCCTAGAGCTCATATTATAAAAGAAGTAGCTGAAGCTGAGATAAGGCAACCAAGTATACTTACTCCCAATTTCGTTTTCATCCAAATAAATCTCTTTGAATTTTAAATATAAGTTAAAAAATCAATATCCCACTCACCCGCTTCTGATTTTATTACTTTCCATTAATGATGTATGACGAAATTTTGACTTTAGTCATTGACGTGATGAAAGTACCGACTAAGGGTAGTTTCCCACCAAGTGCCATTTTGATGAGTGTCGACGAAAGTAAAAATTATTGATGAAATTGAAATTTTTTGTTTTTTTTGCTTTATAATAAAATACATGATATTATTTGCTAATGAAAACAATAATGCTAGTAATGAAACTGATAAAGTTCCTGATATTGAATTCAAAATAATAGTTTAAATTATAACCCAAATGATTTAGTTTCAATAATTTTGGATAATGACTTGGAAAATGAAAATAATATATATTAGATACTAGTATTGAATTTGGAAGTGACAACCTTTATTTGAAAACCTGCATCAGGAAGATATATTTCCTAATGGAAATAGAAGTTTACAGATTGAAAATAATGACAATTTTGAAAACAGAGTCAATCATTACTTAGAAAGTGAAGATTCTAGAAGATGGGAATGATGTGGGGAGTGAAGATGATGTTAACATAAACAATGATAAGCAATATATCAAAAAAGAAAGAAAAGTCAAAACTTGTATTAAAACCTAAATTGTTAGTTGATAACATAAAAAATTTATTGGTTTTTGTTTTTCAATGATTTTGATTTCGACAAGGGTTTTAGTTTTTCTTCATTTTTTAGTGCATTACATTCATTAACTCTGACAAATATCACTCTATATAAATGCTACTAAATGGGCACTATAATCATATTGAGTTCCGCTCGGGTTAAGATTTGTAGAAGCTAACGATGATAATGACAAAGCCAAGTTAAAATGGGGACTCTTTGCTCAGTACAAATGCTTTATTACGGTCTTGTTGTTGTACAGTAATTGTATTTGCAATAAAGGATGGAGTCAATTGAGATTCGTCAACGAAAGTTAACGGATCCCAAGCATCAAAGAATTTGCATTGATAGAATACACTAATGATCCATAGTCTGCAGATGCCAAAGTTCGATGATTTTGAGCCTCCTATTACCATTAAACGTAAAATGACATCTGATCACGATACTGATGATGCTAATGAGGCCTTGAGAAACGAGGTACTGATGAGGACGGAGCAATTTCTATAACGGGTAGTGTTGTTTTTTTTTTGAGCAGAGAAATCAAAATTGACAATCACTTGATTCACCCAAGAACAAATTTTTTTATTGAATAAAATGTGTCATGTCCATTAATTGAGATCTATTATTAAGTTATTACAATTAAAAAATACATTTAAAATATTAAAAAGTATTGTAATTTTCATTTTATTATTTTTGATATTTGATGAAGAAAAAGATACTTACTCGCCCTACTACATTTATTTAGATTAAATTACTTTTATATTTTTTCGTTTAATTATTTTTATAACAAGCATTTATTTATTACTACACATTTTTCAAAATTTGGAAAAAGTAATGAATCTTAAACTTGTCATGCTAGGCTAGCATTCACAACAAATAATAATGATGAATGCGAGAGATGGAGATATCAGAAAATGAATATTAATTAATATTAAAAATAGCTTTTTCCGGTAAATATTTTCCGTTAGACTATGAGGAAAGAGAAATCCAATTTTATTTTGTTATGCCACCAGAATGTTTTGATGGAATGAAAAAGCAACCATTTCATACCAGAAAAGGAGAAAATTCAAAGAGACTACCACCCTGGATTAAGGATAAAGTAAAACAATATGTTCTCAATGTTGATTTGGCATCTAATTATAAGTCATAAAATTGGTGGTATGAAATAATTGATGAAATAGATAGACTATTATTGCTTTAGAAGAAAATTTCTTTTAGTGAGGCAATTTACTATTATTGCAAAATGCAATTTTTCTAGTTAAAAAAAATATATAATTGCTGCACTTTGTTGTATTATTTCTGATTGTTACTGAATATCCAGTATCTGAATAAAGCATTATTAACTGTTTTAATTTGTAGTCCACCGATCAATGATAGAAATTGATTAATTGACGATCCGTGAATAAACCAGTGAAAATTAGTAGGATTGGCAGGGCAAAAATGGTAAAAAATCGTCAATTGACAATGTTTAACAAATAATAAAGCATGATATTTTTGTATTACAAATCTTGCTCTTTTTATGTATGTGTAAGGTAAATCTCATAGAATAATATGTCAAAATATTA